GTTTGGGTATAGGTAAATTCAGCCACTCTATGTAAACCTAGCTTTAAGTATAGTGCATACATGACAGGTAAGTTTCTACACTGCTGTCCGTCAGCACACAAGTCTTTCCGTGTTTAGGAAGATTCCCCATATATCTATTGTACAGGTAGAAACATGCATCAAATTATTCTCATATGTCGGTACTTTGTACTTTTTGCAACACAATGTAATCTTATATGTTTGATAAAAGAACAATAACATTCCAAAAACCCTCCTGATCACAGACTTCCCACCTTTACGCACCTGATAGCAGGAGAAAAATCGCTGACGAATGTCCCGTAACTGGTCATAATCCAAATCCATGACGACCGTTACAAATAAATGTTTACAGGACAGGAGACCTCTGACTCAGTATCACAGGAAAACACTTTCCCACTTCAACACTGTGACACTATCTCCAGGTGTGCACTATGTACTGGTCACCTTAACGATGCGGCAATACATGACAGGTGAAAACTCGTTAGGATCCACGTTTTACTACGATGTGTGGCTCATTAGCATCAAAAACATGATGATAACCATGAAACAGTCCGTAATTCCACTCAATAAGCAGCAAATTTGTATGCCACTTACTCCCGATCTGTTCTCTACCGGCACATTATACTGTGCCTATAATCTAAGGCGTACTCGGAATTTTAATCAATATGTACAGGTAAAAATTCCAGGTGCCACACAGAAGGGCTACCTGTCAGTGTGGCTCAGGTGTATTAGAGCTAAGCTCGGGTAGATCAACTGCTTATATTATATTGGCGAACCCTCATTGAAAGGGAAACTTCAACATTCACAAATACACATGGCCCTTATAGTACTATCAGTAATAATGTATTGTATACACATTGATTAGGCCTGCCTGAATCTATATACAAAGATTATAAAATATTAAACAGCAAAGTAATGGCTCTCAGGGCTTTGTGTAAAAACACCCCTGGGATGATCACACCTAGAGTGTCAGAGGCTTCTACAAAATCTACAAATCTCCTGTATACGTCTGTTCTGCAGAGGAATTCAGGCAATAAACACTGTTATTAGGCATTCAATTGCAGTGACTTCTGCATATTAATAGTATTTATGAAATTCAATTTTAGCAACACACGAAGGTATTATTATTGGATAAAAATGTTTTGACAAAAATGATTATTTTTCATGACTGCATGAACACTTTCAAATTACACCTGTGCACCTTAATTAATTCTACATGTAATTATATAATAATAAGCAGATAATACCCCCCTTTTTATTTATTTATTATTTTTTTCAAACATGTAATTATATCTATTCAATGTATTATCCTTTATACATAACATTTCAAACTTATTTTTATGGTGAATTTTTGTCTTGATAAAAGTGAATCAAGAAACTTTTCAGCATTCATTCTTTTCATACCCGTTCAAAAACCCATCCAAATATTTTGAAGTGTAAACTTTAAAAGGTCTATTTTACAGATTATTGTGAGTTTGACATTGATAGATTAACAACCATTGAAAGCGGAAGGTAAAAACCTCATTAGTAGCTTGATGGGGCACCACTTATTTAACATAAAGAGCTCTGGTCTTGTATTTACCATTAACGCTGGATCAGTGTATAGAATCATTATTCTGATATAGAAATTTACATTATACCATACACCCTTAACTAACAATGTACCCAGTGTTAATACAGTGAAACCTGTCAAAACACAACCCTAATTTAGGTAAGAGACTCTCTAGCAAACAAGAGTTCTAATTTGGGCAAAGAGTTGAATTTAGAGGTTATCATATATATATAGCTACTTCCATATCCAATGCTGTATCAAACAAAGATTCCATATATTCCTGAGGGTCCAGATGCCTGAGGGCTGATATAGGTCGAGGGTTGATACAGCATAGGATATGGAAAAAGTCATATTATAACCTTTTTATCATATACTGCACAGTGTAAATAATAAAGTACAACATCAAAATGATTAGCAATTACACAATTTGAATGTAACTAAGACGTGATTTTGAATGTGTTGAACTAGAAATAAAAGAGATATGGCATGTTATGCATTGACATGGCACATGCGGGGTCAAGTATGCCAGGCAGACATGGATCGGGCCCAGTTTTGGCACATGCAAAACAACCCTTATCATGAACAAGATGATCATTTTGCTTTCTTTTTAACAACAAAAGCTCCACCATGGGGATTCGATTCCTGGACCACTGTGCAAAGGGTCATGGTCATTTTAAATACTAACCTATACTTTTTTTTGAACATGCATTATCATAACGGAATAAGATAAATTTAGCAGAAAAATAACTTTTCAAGGCAAGTAAACGTATACAGCAGAAAAGTTTCTTTGTCCACAATATCATGCAAGAGAAAGCATACAAGGTTTGATTTGTGTTATGGAGCATATACTTCCTTGGACAATTAGTGGTTTGAAATAGCTTGAAAGGTAAAACATATCCATTCAATATTAATTACCCTTATCATACTACGATAGTGAAATAATTAGATCAATTTTATATGGACACCTCACCTGGTACAACTGAAAAATAATGTTCATACCCCAGACCCCAGAACAGAATTCAATGAAACCATGATTTCAAACAAAATGTATACATGGTCTGCATTCTCAGAGGAGCAAAATAGGCCATGTCTATTAATATAAATGTCTACAAATGGGCAAATTCTTCACAAAACATTTCGTCCGCCTCATGAATGATGCTATTTTAGGTATTGATAATATAACAATACAGAAATCATTGCATGGAGAAATATTGATTTTTCTCACCTGGAAAAGCAAACATCAAACAAACGAACAACAAAGACAGCAGGTGTATCAATAACCCTATCATAAACATGGCATACCTCTGATTCTGTCTGCCCACTGAACCGTGAACGCGTCAAATATTGATGTCTGTACGCGTTTTGTACTTGATTTAAACTAAAATTGGCTGTAATTGGTATAGGTCTGCACTGAAACCCAGTCTTTTTGAAACAGACAGGTACACTTTTTCAAAGAGGCAAGTATATATGCTACAACGGTTTCATATGATCGTCGGTGGTTCAAATTTTATTACTGACTTAGTAATATCACGTAAAGTTAAAAACCTTTAGAATAATAACTATATACCAAAATATACACTTCAGTGATAGATGTAGTGCTAATCATACCCATTTACTGCAACTAGGAAATTAAAAAAATGAAATTTATCATACAAGTTTTATTTCCATCTAAATGTTGCCGCATACTTGCCACCATTTTTAAAAATATTCATGGGGGAGATTTCGTGCGCTCAAAATTAAAACATAAATAAAGTGGATGTATATACACGAACGGTATAACATATCATTTTAAAATGGTGTCACTCTATTTATTCTCTCAGGTGAAATTATTAAATCTTGAAATATCAGAACAGTTTAACAAATTTTGTGGTTAAGATTATCAATTCTAGGGTCCGAGATAGGAAATCTCCCTCCAAAATAGGGAGAGCTGGCAAGGATAGGCAGCCTGGAAGTTTTTATGTTTTATCGTACTTTACTTATCCCAGTAGTCAAAATCAACAGTGATGATATTAATGCCTTTATATTAGGAATTTTCGCAAAACAACATGCAATCCACATAAAATTCTCTAAAACTGCTAAATGTTATTGAAAACCACTGCAATTTCAAAAAAGTTTTGAATTTGTTTAAAACAAATGAAGGAGAATCATCAACAATGGGAAAGTGAACATCTGCTTACAAAACTTGTTACTTTACTGATCATGAGTTCCACAATTAAATTGAATGGATAAGTATGGTTATCATAATTAACACACAGTGTTAAGTATTACTTTGGATAAGTCTGGCTTTCTATCAATTCTTCCTCGGTAGATCCAGATTATCAATAATCCATATTATAAATAGTAAAACATACACACAATGACTTGTGTGATTATCCAGATTATACCTATATATATATATAGTTTGAACAAATACATTACACAGTTGTAATTCTCCTGTTATTCAGCACAGATAATTACTTACACTTACTTAGTGAGACAAGTATTCTCAAGAATTAGCCAACTTCAAATGTCTAATACCTTGAACCCCTGTCAAGTGTGATAATTTAACCAACAGTTTAGTTTGGACTGATCATAATTACTACAATTGTTTATTTCATTCTTAGTGTTAAGTCTGGAGACTTATCAAGGGCAGAACAAGGGATAAGTTATTCAACGGTAGCCAGTTAAGATTTTTGAGGGATTTCTTAACCTGTTTAAGTAACAATGATAAGAGGCCCAAAGGGCTTGTTTTTGACATCTTGATATTTCAGCAATCATTGCAAAATATTCTCATTAGAAGTGATATTGCAAATATTTTCCTATTTTGTTTAAGATCAATATGTACATGGTAAAATGGCCTGTGTTATGACCCCGAGACTAGTCAAGGTAAGCCCTTTGGATGGGGCCAGACCTTGGGTCTACTCTTGGTAGTGTGAGTGTGAAAACCTCTTCATGCCCAGCAAGCAGTAACATGAATATGGTAATGCGATGGGGATCTCAACTGTTCGCTGGGTATGAACAAGGACTGAGTCCCATGGGGAAGGGCTGGACATTGAGGCTGATCCTTGTATAGAAGCCTGTAGAATGGTTGTATTCATCTAACTTGTATGTGTGTGTAATGGCCCAAGGATGCTCCAGACCAGATTTGATTTTAAGATTCACCTTCAGTTCCCCTTATTGGATCCCATCTCTCTCCCCCCAGGTGGGCAACATCATTCATTAATACAAATGAGTCTCACCAAAAATGTTTTCGTTAAAATTTAGTCAAAATCCATTTAGCTATTTTGGACTAGTGATATTTTAAAGAAAAAGTTAGTGGAAAAGTTGTTGCATAGTGCCACAGCATATTATTATAAGCTCATCTGGCAAAAAAAACTGACAATACAGATGATAAGCTAACCTAAATAAAACAATACACAGACAGACTATCATTATCATGTGATGTGCCTACCTTGCTGAGGTGGGCTATTTTGTCCATGCAGTGCTCCCTCTGTCTCCTCTCCTCGTCAAGCTCATTGGTCAGTTTTCTTAAGGTCACCTTGGTCTCCTTTTCAATCTGCTCCCGCTCCCGGGACATCTGGAGCCGATGGTCAGCCTGGAGGGACTGAGCCTCTCGGTCAACCTGGATACGCACCTGTTAATATCAAAACAGAGAGAATTGATTTTTATTTTATTCAAAATCTCAAAACAGTCACAACAACAATAGGGAACCCCCTCTGTTCAAATTGCAAAGGAATTTTACTCATTTATGTCATAGATTGATAAAGTTAAATACCTCCTCGCGAGCCTCCTCCCTCAGAGTCCTCTCGGTTACCCGTCGCTCCCCTTCCAGCTTCTTCACCAAGTCAATCAGCCGTGAAATCTCATCCTCCTTGGCCTACAATATCATTACACATGATACACAACACACAAGAAAACGAACATCTTTTATATGAAACCCTTGGGTATAATTCATGTCAATGAAAGTTCTAATAAAAATAATTCTTTCAAATCCCTATTTCAAATTTCATTTTTTTATTTTTTATTTATTTAACCCTTTCATCCCTAGGTAACTTTAGTGGACTTTACCATGCATGTATTTGGATGAGTCCATTATGGTCCACAGTGGTGAAAGGGATAACAAAAATATTTAGATATTTAATTATTTTTTTTAGATATTTTTTTTTTTTTATCAGATTTCCATTCTTCATGCATACCAGCTAATATCTATTGATAAGTTCAAAAGAAATACAGTATGAAACCAATCAAAATAATGAACATTCAATATCTTAAAAGGAGTATGCTTAACAAAGTTAGATAACTCTTGCAGAAATTGAAATTACTGAATATAAAACTTCTGGAACTCTTACAGTGAAACCTCTACAATTAACTCTATATTATCAGAACCAAAACAGCATGGAATTGACATGTTACAGAGGTTAATTTTCTTTAGAATTTTATTCAGAAGTTTGAGGCTGAAAATATGGTTTATACAGGTTTCCAGATTACACAATGGGGTTTACACATGTTTGAATTCGCTATCAAAATATACAATATTAGAATGATTGAAATCAAGTTCATGCAATTTTTGTTTCAGTGTATATTAAAGAAGATTATTCTACACCAAATAATCAATTAATAGCGTTACTTTATACTAAAACAGCAATTTTAAATATCATTTTATCAAATACATGCAGCACAAAAATATGACCTGATATCAAATGTCAGATTGTAAATCAGTTAATCTTGATGAGTTTTATTTTATCATAATACTGATGACTTTGAAATTCTGATACATGAAACGAACATGTTATCTAAAAACCCACACAGAAATGTTCTGTGTATAAAGTAGTACTTGTAAAGATTTTTTTTAATACAATCATAATTACATTAATCCAATAAGTTTTCAGAGAACCACTTGGTAACAGAAGTAAAATGAATATTCATGAGGCAATCACCAGAAAGACAAGTGAAATATAGAATATTCGCCAGTTAAGGTTCTTGTTGCTATATTTAAAACAGGAATTAATCCTTAATGATTAGTTCCAGTTATCGACATGAAGACTGTGTGGCTATTTCGCCGATATGGTCTTATGCGAGTTACGTCCCTTCGTTCGGTGGTTATAAGTAAGTCAACTGATTAATCCGGCAATAGCTTAAATCCCCCCCCCCCCCCCCCCCCACTCATTCTATTTACTTTACTGACAATTTTTGTTTGCTTCCAATTTTATATTTCAGAAGTGCACCATACATGTTGTATTAATTCACATCGTCGTGGCTTCACCCTAAAGCTTACACAGTCCAGGAGTCTGGCAGAGTTTCACTTGGGGCAACACAATGTGCTAATTTTTGGAATTTAAAATGACACTTTCATATAATACTTAACAGCTTTTATAAGTGGAATTTTCTGTTTCCAGTTTCCATTTAATCCTAGCTGTTACGTGGGCAAGGCCATGGCCATCATATGCCAAAAATAATATTAATAATATTATCAAGTAATAAATTCAGCTCTTACCTACTTGATTTTCTTGTGTTTGTCTTTTATTTGATAACAAACAAATTTAAGTAAAGTACTGAGGACAGCCAGTACTGAAATATGTTTTACTGCGTACGACAACAAAATAGAAGTTATAAGAATTAATACTTTGGTTTCTTTGTGTTTTATGTTCTATTAACAGCTTTGGTCATTTAAGGACATGCCAGGTTTCGGTTGTGGAGGTAAACCGGAGTACCTGGAGAAAAACCACCAACCTGTGGCCAGTACCTGCACGGGGACTGTACCATTTAGGACTAAAATCCAACAAGAACAGGCAAACATAAAGATTCTGATAACTTCTAATATTTGTTAATATGCATATGATCATATAAAACCTGAATGAGGACAGGAAAAAAATAGTACATGTTGAAAAGAAAAAGTTACTGTCGAACGTCATTACTCTGAACTTCACATCTAAGATTGTTTATACAATGTAACATAGTAGTGTTTGGTTTCCCAGCCAATATATTTCAGATTTCTGGTTCATATCCCAACTGTTTGGAAGGTTTTTTTATTACAGTATTACCAACTTCACAATAAAACTAAGTCTGATAGTAGGTAAGTAGAATATAGTACATATTGTTACTGTGAAAAATGTAGTTTAATACCACAAAATTAAGACGTTAAGAATCATTCAAATCGGTTCCTGTTATTATCAACACCTGTATTTATCCAGCAATAAGCCCATGCCTGGTAATAAGCCCACCCAAATATGTTGGCATTAAGTAAAATTACCAATAAATACTACTTGATTGTCCAATAATAAGCTCATCCCCCATTTTGAGTCAGAGAATGTGGGTTGGCACCCTCGGTTTATGGCAGGACAAATACTGTAGGTTTGATGGAATCCATGTTAATGGAGAAGTGAATGAATCGTTATACACAAAACAACACATATAATACCTTTTTGTACTGAAAACAAAGCATATATACAGGGATCAACATTCAACACAACAGACATGTACAGAAAACATTTCACCATCAAAAACACAACAGACTTAAGTATCTATCTCGTAATGAAATCCCCCAATCTTGTTTGGTGACTTATTGTTTTTACTTTGTTTCTTATAATTCTTCTTCTTCTTCTTGTTCCTGCGTAAAATTTTGGCCAAGCGTTTTCTCAGAAACTATACGTTGGATTCAATGAAACATCACAAGAGTATTGGGGAGTGTGCCTAGATGTGCAAAAGACCTTTTTTTAACAGCTGCGATCGTGGCCTCTGATTTATTGACACATTTATAGGTGTACGCCAAGGAATGTCAATGGTCCCTCTCTTGGTCCAATATTGCTAAAAGTCTGTGTGTATGCATCAGTATTATGGCATTGCGATCCTTTTCTGATGCATCTTTGCGACTATGAGGTCAGTTTGATGGACCCCATTACAATTAGTACTTGTTCTTTTTCTGTTAGTCAGTCAAAACGACCTGTCATGTTGGTGTCCGATAACCAAATTATTGAAGGTAAGTCAATATTCATAAAGGGAACATAGGTTGATTTATAATTCATAGATAGAGGTGAAGCTGTGACGTGCCGAAATGTGTACTGTACTCTAAACACCTGAGGCTTTAACAGGTGGTCATACTTGAAAATTCCACGAAACATTCAACACAGCAGGTCATTTCAGTCGGACTATTCTTCATTTAAATATTTGTATCCTGAATAATGGCCATTCTTAAAATGTAAACAAAATCCAGAAAACACATCTTAGAATATAAAAACAAACATCGAAAGCAATACAAGTTTCCATTAAACCCTTCACCAAATCAGAACAAGCAACACATTATGATGAATCAAAATCAAGATTTTGACAAGCGTACTGGTCATTAAGCTTTAATCAATGACCCAAGTGTTAGCTGCTCACCTTGATAAGGTTCATGTGTTCTGTGAGGTGCTGAGAGTGTTTGTCGTCAGCACGGCTTGCGGTTTCACGATGTTCCTGCTCCAGTTCACGACGTAATGTCTCTAGAGCCTGCTGCTTGTCCAGAAACATGTTCTCTCGAAGCTGCACCATGGCTGAGTCCTAGTAATAAACAATTTGTCTAGTAATTTCTCAAAATCATACTTGCCATGTGCCACTGTTTTAGAGGTAAATAACCAAATTCTTCGTTTTTTTTTTTTTTTTTTAAATCAGTTCATTTCAATATGTGGTAATTAGTTCAGAGTCATCAGTTGAATAGTATGAAATTCAAATGAAACTGTAGGAGTTGTCTAAAAAAGATTTTGTCTACAGTTGGGAAAACGCGTGTGTTTGGTTTGCTTTGTTTGCGTTTTATATCCTATTCTCAGCTTTGGTCATTTAAGGACATGCCAGGTTTTGGTCGTGGAGGAAAACCAGAGTGCCTGGAGAGAAACCACCAACCTGCGACCAAACCTGGCAATTGCCCAATGTAGGCCTAGAGCCTGCCAAGCAGTGGTGGAGGGCTAGTGATCACAGATGGTCAAAAGCCTTAACCAATCCACAGGGACTTGACACGTTCCTGTGAACCAATCGGCCACTGTGACCCCACCCCCCAAAAAAAAACCCACATGGACAGACATGCTTCAAGTAGTGTGGGTTATAATAAAGAAATGTTTATTTCAGCAAAACCTACCATCTCCTTTCTGAGACTTTGTAGTGTGCGCTTGTGATCCTCCATCATGCCCTCTTTGGCAGCTACCTCCTTTGACAACCTCTGTTGTACATCTGTACTCCTCTCACTACAAGAACAATATCATATGTTAAAGGCAAAGAATAGTCAAGAGCAGTCATCTATGGTTACTTGAACCATTGCTATGGTTATCTGTAGTAAGTTTTAAAGTCCATGCTTTGCTTACTAGAAAGAAAAAAAAATGTTATCTCTATGCAAACTTGAAGATTAGATTTGATATCACTGGAAGGGTTTCCTGAGGCTAGCTGTTAAATGTCATTGCTACGGATACTGAAGTTTGATTCTAAGGTCTTTAATATAAGTTACTTCAATGGTTACCTTTCAGGTAATTTCTGGTTACCTGTGGTTACATTAAAGGTAAAAACTATGGCTACATGTGGTTAGATTAAAGGTAAAAACTATGGCTACATGTGGTTATGTTTAGGGTTATGACTATGGCTATATGTGGTTACGTTTAGGGTTATCACTATGGCTATATGTGGTTACGTTTAGGGTTATCACTATGGCTACATGTGGTTACGTTTAGGGTTATAACTATGGCTATATGTGGTTACTTTTAGGGTTATCACTATGGCTATATGTGGTTACGTTTAGGGTTATCACTATGGCTACATGTGGTTATGTTTAGGGTTATCACTATGGCTACCTGTGGTTTCGTTTAGGGTTATCACTATGGCTATATGTGGTTATGTTTAGGGTTATCACTATGGCTAATTGTGGTTATGTTCAGTGTTATCACTATGGCTTTATGTGGTTATGTTTAGGGTTATCACTATGGCTAATTGTGGTTATGTTCAGGGTTATCACTATGGCTACCTGTGGTTACTTTTAGGATTATCAATATGGCTATATGTGGTTACGTTTAGGGTTATCACTATGGCTACATGTGGTTATGTTTAGGGTTATCAGTATGGCTACCTGTGGTTTTGTTTAGGGTTATCACTATGGCTATATATGGTTATGTTTAGGGTTATCACTATGGCTATATGTGGTTATGTTGAGGGTTATCACTATGGCTAATTGTGGTTATGTTTAGGGTTATCACTATGGCTACCTGTGGTTATGTTTAGGGTTATCACTATGGCTACCTGTGGTTTTGTTTAGGGTTATCACTATGGCTATATGTGGTTACGTTTAGGGTTATTGCTATGGGTACCTGTGGTTACGTTTAGGGTTATCACTATGGCTACCTGTGGTTTCGTTTAGGGTTATCACTATGGCTATATGTGGTTACGTTTAGGGTTATCACTATGGCTACCTGTGGTTACGTTTAGGGTTATCACTATGGCTACCTGTGGTTTCGTTTAGGGTTATCACTATGGCTATATGTGGTTACGTTTAGGGTTATCACTATGGCTACCTGTGGTTACGTTTAGGGTTATTACTATGGCTATATGTGGTTTCGTTTAGGGTTATCACTATGGCTACCTGTGCTTACGTTTAAGAGGATCACTACAGTTACCTGAGGTTACCTATAAGATAATCACTATATAATGATTACCTGAAGTTAGCTTGAAGGACATATACTAAAGTTTATCTTTAAGGTCATTGTTTACATAACCTAAGGTAAGCTTTGAGACTGTAACTATGATTACCTGAGTTACCTCATCTATGATGTTGTAACTACCCTAACCTGAGGTTAGTTATAAATTTTTACCACAGTTACTTGAGATTATCTATGATGTTATTGCTATGGGTACCTGTGACTGCTTATGATGTTGTTTCTGTGGTTACCCAAGGAAAACTATGATGTTGTAACTATATGGTTACCAAATTTTAGTGATGAAGTCATTGCTATGGTTACCTGAAGTTTGCTATGATGTAGCTAGGGTTACTTGAGGCTAGCTATGATGTAGCTATAGTTACCTGAGGTTAGCTATGATGTAGCTAGGGTTACCTGAGGTTAGCTATGATGTAGCTCTGGTTACCTGAGGTAAGTTATGATGTAGCTCTGGTTACCAGGGGTTAGCTATGATGTAGCCATAGTTACCTGAGGTAAGCTATGATGTAGCTTTAGTTACCTGAGGTAAGCTATGATGTAGCTAGGGTTACCTGAGGTTAGCTATGATGTAGCTCTGGTTACCTGAGGTTAGCTATGATGTAGCCATAGTTACCTGAGGTAAGCTATGATGTAGCTAGGGTTACCTGAGGTTAGCTAGGGTTACCTGAGGTTAGCTAGGGTTACCTGAGGTAAGCTATGATGTAGCTAGGGTTACCTGAGGTTATCTAGGGTTACCTGAGGTTAGCTATGATGTAGCTAGGGTTACCTGAGGTTAGCTATGATGTAGCTAGGGTTACCTGAGGTTAGCTAGGGTTACCTGAGGTTAGCTATGATGTAGCTCTGGTTACCTGAGGTAAGCTATGATGTAGCTAGGGTTACCTGAGGTTAGCTATGATGTAGCTAGGATTACCCGAGGTTAGCTATGATGTAGCTCTGGTTACCTGAGGTAAGCTATGATGTAGCTAGGGTTACCTGAGGTTAGCTATGATGTAGCTCTGGTTAACTGAGGTTAGCTATGATGTAGCTAGGGTTACCTGAGGTTAGCTATGATATTATCCCTCTCCTTGATGGCTTCCTGGTGGAGGTTGACATTTCGACAAAGATCGTCAATCTCCTCTCGCATCTCCCCAGATTCCCGGGAAGTGTTACGCTTTGTCTCTGCCATGTGAACTTTTGACCTATCACGCAGATCCTCATACAGTTTTGTCTTCTCCTGCAAATACAGCATACAGATACTAATTTTCATCAACAAAAATCATCTTTTTTTTCTGTGTGTGAAGCTTAATATTGTCCCTACTCAGAATAAATCACTTGATGTCTAGATAATAAATGACAGCAAAATTACAGATAACTATTCCACAGCCAAAAACAAATCAAAAATGACCAAAGTCAGAGGCTGTGATAAACATTTGTTCAATAGTTACTTTATAACACTAATAAGTGATACTGTTTTAACTTTAACCTATATTGATATATTTTGTTTTCAAAATATTCTCTTTCATCTAAAAGTGTATAAAGTGAAATCATAAGAACTAATACAGGAACATTTGATATAAAACAAGATTAGATTCCTTACATGGATGATTTCATTTTTTTCCTTTTCCATTCGCCTGTAGGCAGCGTCCATCTTGTGGAGGCGCAGAGCCACATCATCGCCATCATGTCGCTCTTCTAACTTCATATTCATTGTCTCTATCTCCTGAAACAAACAGTTTTAACAGTGTAACATTACTTTTGTTTATGTTACGGTTTAAACATCCTCACAACAGCTATGGTCATATGAGGACGGTGCCTAGGGAGACACCAAATATGAGAACTTTGTTTGTTAAATGTGAGGAGTTTAATGCCCTCACAACAGCCAGTGTCATATGAGGACAATGCCTAGGAATACACCGCCAGAAACAGAAAGTAGATAGAAAAGAAAGACGGCAGGAAAGACAGGAAATGAAAGAGATCCCAAGTGTTGTAATAGGGGCAGCAGATCAATTTTGGCCTCTTTCATGTCCTCTTCTTAAAAGACAGGGAAGAAAACCCTCAATTCTGCAGTGGCCCCCCACATTAGTTGCCTCTTAAGAATATACAGTGGGATACAGCAGCAGGTTGAGTCTGAAGTGTTGCAATGGAGGACAACAGACCAATTACGGCCTGTCTAATGTCCTCTTTGTAGAAGATATGGAAAATAACCTCCGATTCTGTAGAGGGCTCCACATTAGCTGCCTCTTACAAATTGCAATGGGATACAGCAGGCTATTTCTTTCCCTGAACACTCACAGGGGCTCTAATGTTACCAGGACACACATCATTAAAATATAATCATATACCAATTCAACAGATGACCTCCATAAAGAAACCATTTATTAAACTTGTTACTTGGAGAACCTGATAGCTGTATGTGGAACCTGATAGGTGGGTTTATGAAGATAGACAATGATTACAGGCTGACGAAAGCGACAACCTGACTGAAGTAGCCAGGTTAACGAGGATTCACAGTATTTACCATCATATTGGTAAAAAAATGAAATTTCTGATGAACCATACTGTTAAATTTTGCTTGTATATTTTTACAGTCTGTTAAGATTTAAAAACAATTATCACAGGGAGATATATATCACATCAGATAGAAAAGTTAGAAAAACAAATTCTAAAATAAAGAAACATTAACTAACCATGGAATTATGTCGAAAAAATAATTTCACATTTTTGCTTTTAAAACAATAATGGATGTGAATCTTATCAGGGACTAAAGTTACATTGTGAACTTAAATGTAGTTTTATGTATACTTTTTTGTGGAAAAACATGTATTTACATGAAAACTTGTTGATCAAGCACAACAGAGAAAATTCTATCATATAATACATTGCCTCTACTTTTTCACATTAATGGCAAAAAGACCACTAGAAGACGTGAAACTAGCCATCTAAGCTACCTCTTTGAGATCTTCCTTTTCCTTGCGGGCTTTACGCTGTTCGTTGAACAAGTCTTCCTTTGCCAGTTCCAGCTGGCGGACCAACTCATCTCGCTCCAACTCTAGTCCATCCATCTGTCGCAGACGCAGCTTGAGGCTGTCATTTTCTTTCACAAGGTCGCGTGTCTACAAATATAAATACAAGATCACATATAGTGTCTTAACAAACAAATACCAGGTGTCTATCAACTACACAGTAACTAAACAATAATTGACTAATTGAAAGGTTTTACGTCTGCTTCACTACCAAGTAGTTCGGTTATCCAGCAGACTTAAACAATAATTATACAGTGAGGTACTTAACCCCTTCACCCCTAAAGTCACATTTGAACCTTACCAAATCAAAGACTGGGCAAGGCCAGTGTAAATATGTAGGGGTGAATGAGTTAACACAGTACAATATCCCTAACAACACATCAGATTTCTATACTGTAGCCTCACCTTGTCATCAGTCATGTCGGGACGCCTCCTGTCTCCTATTCGAGACCTCTCCTGATCCTCAATGTCCTTCATCTCCTTCTTCGTCCTCTGAAGGTCCTCAGACATCCGTTCATAGTCCTTCAGCAGGTTCTCACGCTTAAACTCTGTCAGCATCAGCTGGGTCCTGTCAACATTACACAATAATAAACATTTAACAGGGTTCGTACAGGTATTTAACTAAGCAATTCAAAGCTTTTTAGGGTCCTTATTTTGTAAAATAATGTCCTAAATTTTCCAGCCATTTGCAAATTCTTCAAATAGAGAGATCTGGATGTGTCTAAACTCACAAAATAAACACTAAACAACCCAAAAATCTAACACTGGTCGGTTTTTCATTTTCTTGCACTTTCTGAATTAATTTTAATTAAAATAACATTCTGACAGTTTCAAGAATTTTTTGTTAAGTTAAGGGCTTTTAGTGCCTATTCATCAATTCAAAGGCAACTTTTTTTGTTTTTAGGGCCTTTTGAAGGTGTCTGCAAACCCCTTTAAAATCCCAAATATGTAAAGAAAGTCAATGTTTTCCCAAACGCAGCAGAGCCCTCACCATCACTCTCTCAAGTGAGCTTTTTTCAAAATATCAACAAACTTTGAAAGGCATACAATGTATCTTACCAAATTGTATTATTTGAATTTTTCACTGCTCTATTTATCATGTTTACAGGCAGTTCATTGGTATTTGGACAAGAAACTAAACAAATACTTCAGTCAATTTTGCACTTACCATCAAACTAATAAGAACAGATTTTTTTTTTGATTTTTTTTTTACAATGGTGGATATTTAAATAGGAGGATAAAAAATCTACAAAAACTAAACAAACATGTGGAAAATGTTTGGCAAATGAACAATGAATGACAGCTGACAGATGAGTGATAAAAATACAACTGACAGCTAGGTGACAGGTCTAAATGGAAAACTCAAATACACTGATGCTGTCATTACATCTTTATACACTGAAACTCAACCAAATCACCTTGTACAATCAAAGAGATCGAGGCAAAAGTTAAATGAAGAATCTTTCAAGCCTAAAGTTTAGTTGAAGATTTTATAAAAACACAAAAAACAGGAAAGGTGAATGAATTGTGAACAGTGGAAAAAGGTTTCAACAGTCAATTTGTTTACAATGCCATGTATGTTTTATTTTTCATAATGAAAGGGTGAATCAAAATTGAAACAATTTGATCAGTCATCTTCAGTGCCTTACATATATCACGCCAGCTAGGTGTCACCTACAACATAAGTTATATCACTTACCTAGCATCCTCTGTTTGAGCGTTGACAGCCTTCAGTTTTTTCTCGGCTATCTGGACCTCGGCACGAGAGGCTTTCCATGTGCTACGGCTGTTTTCCATCTCCTCTGCAGAGTCGACCTGTACAATGTTAGAGCACCCTAATTATCAGGTATACAATATCACAATACTGCATTCTGGGAAAATTTCCCTTTTGCCTTAACTGGTAATTAACTCCTAATTCGCCCTAGAGTTAATTTTGACCTTCACATTAAACTAATACCTATGTAAAACATGTTGTAAACAAATATTCACTATTATGATTAATTCGCCTGCATTATGGAGGGGGACAAAATACAAAAGTTAAACGTGGCAAACATTTTTCTGAACACAGAAGCTCATGATTGAAGTATCTAACTTACAAAATTTATGGAATTCAGCCAGTGTTTTTATTTGCATATTTCAGGGACACAAACAAATGAAAGACAACTATTTCACTGTTAATAATAAAAAAAAAAATTTCAGTTACAAATATTTTTCCTAAACAATATTCTTTTTAAAACCAATATATTACTTTGACATTTATATATGGTCACCTCTGGGTTTTGACAGCAGAAAAGGTCAGAAAAACATATTTTCTCTTAAAGTCACATTTCGGTTTATATCAGTGAAATCTACTGTTTTAGATATACAGGGTGTGAAAGTGTTAGCCCCAACTTTCCATATATTACACTGACCCCATAAGGGTCTGTACAGGGTCAGTATAACCAACTATATTCCAAATTTGAATCATCAAGGACCTTTTTTCTCTCCCAAATAATACATAGAGTAGTGTGGGTGGCTCTCATACTTGAAATATACTGAATTCTTGAAACACTCGACCGTTTAAAATATTTATGCTTTTTTTTATTCTTTACTGACAATTACTCACTAAACATTTTTGCATCCAATTATGCTATTTTCATTCACCTAAATGGCTCCACATTTGTTGATAGTGCACAGTCTGCTCAAAGTCTTGAATACAGCGAATGAGACATAGCCTTGCTTTAATATTTTAACTGGCTTAGGGGAGGCAACTCTTACGTAACTCAAATGTATTGCTACAAAAAGTCACTAGTTTTGGAACAAGTGAACATATGTGTTGTTTAAGTTGTGAAGCCATGGTGCTGGTGCCGACATGTTGCACTGTAATAAGATAAAGTCCCTCAACAGCAAAGGATTACAAAAAAGTGGGTAGGGGCTCACATAAATAACCCCACTCTTTCCTGAAGTGCATAGTCAAGTGTGATATGTTTGTCCCTTTATTTATTAAATGACCTTTGGCCACCAAAATATAATCGATTGTTTGAACAGCCACCATCTGATGATAGTATTGTTGCAAAATTTTCCCGTTGAGCCCCCCTCCCCATGCAGTACATGTACTTGATTGAAGTATAAATATATTTGTAACAGGAGAAAGAGAGACGGCAAGACCGAGATTCTAACTCAGGACCTTTGCTCTAACCAATTGAGCTACCTTGTTGCCAACAATTGACCCAGTCCAGATCCACTACATTCTTCCCTCCTTCAACAATGTCTTCGACCCCAGGACACAAGAGACCCTATACCACCTTCGATGGGTATATTTCATTGAGCGCCAAATTTGTAACAGGAGAAAGAGAAATGCAACAGCCAGACTGAGGTTCAAACCCGGGACACTCCGAACTCTAGACTGACGCTCTAAACAATTGAGCTACCTGTTCGCCAACGATCGACCCAGTCCAGTTCTGCTACATATTTTATAGCCAAATAAAGCAATGGGATTAAGCATAAAACCCTTTGTCTTTTATGTACTCACCCCAGGATCATACGAGTTCCTACGTCTGTGGTTGAATCTGGGGCTAGTGTTATCTCCCTGTAGGTCGGACACCTGTAACAAACGGTGTCTGTGTTCATGTACGGAGTAATACATACACAACTGATCATATACCTATACTATATAATGTCTAAAATTAATTCAACTTTTGAGAAATGAAGTTAATCACAACTGTTTGAATCACATAACATGTGTTAGTAACAGTGATTAATATCCAAAGGACTACAACAAGTTTTAAACGTTTCAAAAGAAATGAAATTATAAATGACTCCGCACTGTGGAACGGAGACCAATTTGTCAAATACACAACGGTAGTCAAGAAACTAAGGGGAATTTACATTGCATTAAACAGCATTTATCATGCAAATTAAAGGCTCAAATTTCTCATAAATATTTAATTTTAGGTTCATTTTAAGCGAAGTATTTAAACGATTTTGTGCCAAAAACCAATGCACAGATGATAGAATGGTCCAAGACACTGGGTATGTCAAATGACAAATTTATAGCATTGCGCATACATTAGTGCGAAAGTACAGTACATATATACAGAGGATCTGGGACCCACCAGAGGAACTGTTACATTTCCAGTGGAATATATATAGTTTGACTGTTGACCGACGGCTTATAATAGGGGCTTAAAACAACTGTTTTGTTACTTAATTGGCCAATATGACCAATAAAAAACAAACAGTTAAGTAAGAAATCAACAATTTCTATCTGTATACAGGGAAGGTTTTTTTTACCTTTTTAACCCTCCTTAATGAGGGTAATTTTTATCATTAAAGCAAATATAATTTTAAATGCATAATATACATTATAATTAAGTGAAACTTAATTTCGTTTCCGGACACGGTTAGGAAGGATACGGGAGATCAGTAAAATATGGTGACAAGGAATAAACCAAAAGAGTAGGTCAAATATTGAGATACCCTGTCATTGGCAGTCGTGGTGGAGGTGATGCAACAACTACAACAACAACTGCCACATTCTAGCTTACACTTCATACACATTGCCAAACAATTGCCAATATGCATGAAGCGCATTGCTGTCTGCTTCAGGGATCTACTCCGGACCTACCCAACCATATCAAAGCGTCTCAAACATCTTTATACTCAGATAAAAACCGACACCTTTACAAGAGTATCATATAATTTGCATATACACTAATATAAATTGCATAATATGACTTGAAATCTGATTCAGGGATCTACTGCAGACCTCCCAACGTAAACAGTACTAATCTCCACATATTTACACCTAGATAAAAACTGGCAACTTTACAAGAGTATCATATAATTTGCATATAAACTGATAAAATATGGATAACAGTCATGGGAGATGACTCTTCTATACATGTAGTGTTTATAGGATCTGTTTTTAATTAACAATTGGGCTTACCTTTTCACCCTCTGTAATTATGAGGGTAAATTTTACAGTACAGTGAATATGTGTAAAAGCATAATAAACATAATAAAGAAATTAATTAAATAAAATTGTACTTCATCTCAGGACACTTCTGTTGGCAGGTAGCACTGTAGGTTAAAGTGTAGTATAATAGAATTATCATTATATATATAGTCCAAAGTTCAAATTGGGGTGTAACCCAGGTGATTTTTGACATTCAGAATACCGCTGTTGTTTATTGTTATTTGATCTTTAATAATTTTCCCATGAAAGTCCCGCTAGGTATGGTAGTATTTTCAGAAATGATTTAACAAAGCTATACTCTTTCCAGTAAGCATATTCCAATGTGTAATTACAGTGGTACAGGGATCCCTGTAAATATAACGTCTGTTAGGGTGAGGGATGGGAGATCAGAGGGTGTTCGATATAGTGACAAGGAATAAACCAAAAGAGTAGGTCAAATGTTGAGATTCCTATGGTTGGTTATATAGGGTTATAGGGCTGACTCTGCAGCCAAACAGAGCTGACACAGCAGCCCTACAGTAAGAGGGGGCTTTTTATTTTGCCGACCAAGGCAAGGCTAGGCTACTTGCCTAGGCTATTACAATATAGAGATCTACTCTAGACCTACCCGAAAGTTAATCTGAGTCTCCAACATATTTATACCGAACACAAAGACCAACACCTTTACAAGAGTTTCATATGATTTGCATATAAAATAATAACTGCATGAAATGCATTAAAGTCTGATTCAGGAATCTACTCCAGACCTCCCAACATAAATAGTACTTATCTCTAAATCTCCAACATATTTACACCGAGATAAAAACTGGCAACTTTACGAGAGTATCACATAATTTGCATATAAACTGATAAAATAAGGATAACAATCAAGGGAGATAACTCTTCCATACAATTAATAGCTTAAAAGATCTTTTAATTGACAATGCGGCATATTTGGACAGATTGGGGTCTACCAACACATATATTTTTTCTAATTTTTCATCTATTTTTATTACATTATTCTAAACCAAGTTAGCCGGATCAAGCTGGTCAATATAAAGGAGACCTGTGATCATTGGAAAAAATGTCATAATAGTCCTATTCTTGTAGTTCTTGTAATTTTTATTATTAATTCCTTAATAATGTAATTAAAAAACAGTGGAACCCACTTATTATGATACCGAAGGTGATTGTTACACAGTGTAGCCAAACTACCCAGGTAAAGTTTTTCATTGTGAGTGACCTCGCTTCACCCCAGTCAGTGGAAAACTATAGATCAACCTTCACGTGCTTGTCATAGATTTTACTCTAAACAAAATATATAAAGTAGTTGACTGTTATCTAAGATACACTATAGGAATGTGTATCAAATGGAAATGATAATTGAGGCCTTTTAACCAACCTTTCTAGCACGTTACATTCTGATAGGAAACAAGCATTCGTTTTATAATTATTCATGGTTACTGTGACATGTCATGTGAGAAAATCATGGCGAAGTACATACAGTTTGAAGAGAAGATATTACAAGACTCTGTCATGTCCAGGTGTGTAGGATAGAGAAATTCTACCTGAGGGGTTTTTAAATTTGGTAAATACTGATGCTTGACGACTATGGTTTTGCACCATTTTGAAAATCCTACGGATGGAATTTCTCTATTCTTATACATCCGAGTATTTCATATTATATTATTTTATAATATTCTACATTAACGAGTATTTTCTCTTATATCCAAACTAGGTGAATTTTTAAACAGGTTTATTAGGTTAATGTTTTTTGTCCCCCAAAGAGTTTTGATATTTGAATAACTTGACTGTTACAACAATATTGATATGGGAACAGATTTGTACCAGATACAGTCTTAATGATTTTTTTTTGTTTTTGGGTATCCTAGGTATATTGTAATCCTGGCGTATTTTAGTTGAATCAACTCCTCAACGAATGGCTATACATGTAATGTTAAAGATAAATGAAATTATGGAAAACAATCATTTACTTAAAGCTGCAAGTAAGGGTAGCTCAGAAGTTTGAAATACTCTTTATTGCTTAGTGTATCAAGTATTGTGACCCTTCTAATTTGTAACACTCTTTCTGTTTGGATATCTTGCCGGGGTCTATATTTCTATAGAACCCACTCTGCCGGGTCTATAAAAGCACATGTGAGGGGAAATAACTTAAACTAGAATCTCGCTTCATAACAACAAAGATGGCGTCCGACACACACAAGCATTCAAGGTTTGCAAATCATCAACAGGATGAAATAGCCTACACACAATCTTAGATGATAGCAAATTTGAATTCAATGAAACAGGCAATAAGGGGGCCGCTAGGGTGCTTATTGCAAAGATGGTTGTGTATTGTCCAAAATATTGCAAAAAAGGTGTCCGGTAGGGGCTATTTTGGTAGCAGTCAAGTACAACTCAAACTCACAAAGTGACTTATAACTTTGCAGGAAAAAAAATAATGAAGGATTGTCAGGGTGAAAACTTCGTTATATCTGGGTTAGGAGGGGTCTACTGGCTCATAGACCCCTTAGATCTTTATAGACCAGACAGGGTCTATGAGCCTGTAGACTCCTCCTAAACCCGAGATAACTAATATTACCCAATGTATACGTCATTTGCATAATTTACATATTTACTCATTCACACCTGAAATTTCATAATGAACTATTCCAACCTTTGGAAGAGTTCAAATGTGTCTTCATACAGGGGTGAGTGAGTTAATAGAAGTTGTCTTCACTGATAAGTTGCAAGGTTAAAACAGTAAAGAACTCAACATTATCTGACCCTAATTACAAAAAATGCAAATGGTACAGATACAGAGTTATATAGATTACTGGTGACATCAGGGGTCGACACTAAACACTAGTCCTCTAGTCCTGGACTAGTAGATTTCAGCAAGGACTAACAGTGAATCACCAAACCTATCTGGTCCTTTGGACATGTGAAAAATATGATTATACAAGAGATCCCAGAGGGATCTTGGCGCCCACCTTTGTACCATCTTCATTAGTTCTTTGTCAGTTCGATCTTTTCTCTTCTTTCCTCTAATCTGTTTGATCGAGTCAAGTTAACAGTAAATGCACCTTGAGGTAACTTTTGATCTAAAATTAATACTGATGTGTATGAAAGCCAACCTTCAAAGTGAGTTTGTCCTTTCACATATTTACTAGTACAGTACTTAATGAGAAAGAAAAACTACCTGTCGGCCATGTTGTTTATCCGATCAATCTCAAAAGTTTCCCTGCACAGCTCAGGACCAAGGGGAACCTACATATAAAATTTGAGAAAGATCCCTCTGATACTTTCCGAGGAATAGCGATAACAAACTTTCAATATCAAAATCAAAGATGGCTGCCTGTCGGCCATGTTGTTTATCCGATCAGTCTCAAAAGTTGCCCTGCACAGCTAAGGACCAAGGGGAACCTACATATAAAATTTGAGAAAGATCCCTCTGGTACTTTTTGAGAAATAGCGATAACAAACTTTCATTATCAAAATCCAAGATGGCTGCCTGTCGGCCATGTTGTTTATCCGATCAGTCTCAAAAGTTGTCCTGCACAGCAAAGGGCCAAGGGGAACCTGCATATAAAATTTGAGAAAGATCCCTCTGGTACTTCTTGAAAAATAGCGATAACAAGAATTGTTTACGGACGGACGACGGACAACGGATGGACGACGGACCACGGACGCAGGGTGATTTGAATAGCCCACCATCAGATGATGGTGGGCTAAAAATCAGAATGTTCCTTTTTTCAATTTAGAAAACTGCTTAAAATAAGATATATTGCATGATGATGGTCAATTTTTTTACTAAAACTTCACCATATTTTTATGGCAGCAGCTATTTTAAGTCCCCTACACTCGATTATTTTTGGTGTATCATGCTGTAGATCACGATGTTTCCTTATCAGGAAATCTTGGACTAGTTATTTTGACAAAGGACTAGTAAATAATCTATTCAACTAGTCCTGTGGACTACCAAGCAAAACAAGTTAGTGTCTAAATAACACCGCACATTAATAAGCAATTAAGCTGTTTATTTTGGGACATTAATAAGTTTAGAATAATTAAAAATCAGAACTCAGGGTTTGGATAATCAGTGTGACTGTAACTAAGCTTCCACTATAAGTTGAACTTGAACTGCATGAACTTACCAGACGACCCTCGACGGACTGTGACCTTGCCTTTGACCTCTGTGAGGACACGGGGAGTTGGTCTTGAAAGGATACAGACTGAAAGTAAAAACGTTTTGGTTTTCTTAAGAAATAGGTAGTGAGTTATTAGAATTAATCTCTAAATTTAAATCTTATTGCTGATGATCAAATATTGTCCATTCAACTTTCTGTATGCTAGAAAATGTTCACAACTGTTTAACTTTTTCCACAATGATGGCGAATCTATCATGAAAGTGGTGTTTATAGTATAAAGCATACTGTATAGTAATTACATGTGAAGGGGGAAATTTGCACTGGGAGAATATTTGACTTGTCAAAAGTTTCTCTGTATACAGTATTGTATCAATTGTACCTGCCACAACTCTAAAATTAAAAAAAAAAAAAAAAAAAAGCTGATGTTGTAAATGATCAGTATGAGAGTAAAACTTACCAGTTCTGATCTCATGGAATGGTCCATTCCTGGGCGGGGACTGGCAGGTCGTGGCCCTGTCAGAAAACTGGACGTTGAATCTTTGAGAACACCCTGTAAAGGACTTGCTGGCCTGTGTCTGTCATTGGCATTGGGGCTAAGAGAGCGAGCCCGGAGTACGGATAAGTCCTGATATTTCGAAGCGGCGGGCATAACAAGCTGGGGACTCAGTGTATGTGCTTCTTCTTCGTTTTCAGCACGCAAACTTGAGAAGCTCGAGGAGGGATCCTGCTCCTGGAAAGATGAACTTCCGCTTCGGAGGATGGGTGAAACTGATCTTTTGGGATCAGGAAATGAAGAATCTGGTCTAGGAGAACCTGGCCTCAGTGAATCTGACAAAGACGTCCTTGACCTTGGGTTAGGGGATGAGGACCGAAACGGCTCTTCCCTTGAGGAAGAAACTGTCCTTTGAGATTCATCTCTGGAGGATGTGACAGATCTTGGATGCATGGGAGGCATGCCACTGATTCGATCTCGTGCTCGCAGAGTTGGGCTACGGGCCCTGGGAGGGGTTTTGTAGCCCGAGTCTTCATAGTCCTGTAGGGTGGGGCTAGATCGGCCCATTGGGGAGGGAATATCTTTGAGGGAATTATGCCCTCCCGACTGGTTGTGATTAAGCTCACTAAAGGCTGGCTGTAAAACAATCAGTAAATAAAAATGTTATGTAGGTATAGTTTATATCATAAATGTTCACAAATAAATCCTACCATATCAGTTCAATATAGTTATCAGAGTCTATCAAATGTAGGTATGAGGGATATGGATATTCTACCCGATTGTGCACCCAAGGGTAGAATATCTATATCCATTCACATACTTACATAATGATTGTGTATTTTATTTCATCCACATCTTAACCAAAATTTTGGTTAAACAGGTTTTACATAATAAATATTAAATACTAAATATAGCAAAATTTCTAGATAAGATACACAAACAAGGGCCATATTTGGAAAGAGCAGAAAAAAGCAGGGTATTCCGTCGATATACCGCAAATTTAAAAATCCATGTGAAACCTTCAGGGTACCTGGAGACACACATGGTGGGGCAGGTGACTTCATACTTTTTCACGTCAGATCAGGTAAACGAACCCCGGCTGCCTTTACATCACATCTAGTCCTACTGGCCCCATTATAACATTAAAACCATATAAAATCCTACAGGTCCTACCTTGTCCATGCTAGAACTCAGATCCAACACTGTCCTAGTTGGGGACTTGGAATCCTTCCTAGACACTGGCAAATTAGACCGTCTCTCTCTCTCTATCTCCTGTTGAATTCTGGACGATTCACGGTCAATTTCTCGACGGACATCATCCACTGAAGTTGAGCTCTTGATTGGTGATCTGTAAATACAAAAATAGAAAAAACTAAACAACCAGTGGAAAAAATGTATACTGGGAAATTATTGCCCAGTCAAAGTTTCGCCCTTCTCCGGTAAAATCCGCATTCACCCAGTTTTAAATAGGCCCTTCACATTTTATTACTATGCATATTATGATGTTTACTAATGTTCATGATAAATTTGCCCTCATTACAGAGGGCGAAAAAGTAGAAAATTAAACTTTAGCAAAAATTTCCTGGTATACAATATTACTGGATGTATTTAAATGTTAATATGTTATTTATATAGGGGATGGGTGCGTGGCCATGTGTGTTGGTCAGTGTGTGTGTAGATCACCACTTCCCCCCTACTCAGCCCAAGGGGATTTGGGGGTGTTATCTGCTTTCTGTGATGTTGTGAAGATTTGAGAAATCCACTTTATACACTCAGATGTTTTATGACATCAGCTTTTATTCATTTAGTTAATTTGTTCACAGTGGTTAAGTTAGGAAACTCCACAGTTCTTCTACTGTATGAAGGCCTTAAGAAATTGTGTCCTGTTAAATGTCATACTTACCAACTTTTTGCAATTTCTATGGGACGCGTGCTCAGAATTAAATGCATAAGTAAAATGCGTGTATGTACACACTCAACTTTCAGGTGAAATTATCAGATCTTAGAAAATAGAAATAGTTTAGCTAATTCACAGGTTGAAAATGCTAAATTTTAGGGTCCGAAATTGATTGATTGATTGATTGATTGATTGGTTTGATGTCTGCTTCACTATCGAGTAGTTTGGTTATCAAGAAGATGAAGAAAAGACAGAATAATGAGTAGAAGGGATAAAGTATGGAGTAAAGGCCATCTATCCTATATGTATTAACGTCTATCCTATATGTATTAACGTCTATCCTATATGTATTAACGTCTATCCTATATGTATTAACATCTATCCTATATGTATCAATCTAATTTTTGTAAGACGACTCCTTGGCCTGATGTTTGTCTTAACCTTACACTAGTCGTATAGCAGCACCAAATCTGGACCGGAAGTGAGGTACTGTGCCGCCCTCTTAAATAGGGAGAGTTGGCAAATATAAAATCTATCTTATTTCTTCTAAATTCACATAAAAGCAATGATGGTTGCAGATTTTATAAGATGTCAGAACATTTTGAATATATCTGAAGTAATATTTCAGTAAAGTATTGACTCGACAAATATCAGGAATGTTAGCACAGTTGATAAGCTCCTTGCTTTATAACCGAGAGGTCCAGGTATTGAATCCCAGTGGCAGATTTTTTTTGAGAAAAAGGAAATTATAATTAATATATATATCTTTCATATTTCACTCCTCGCTATAATGAAATGGGCAGGAAACTAATATATTAAAATAATGCAGAACAAATTGGAACTCTTCTTTGATGGAGATACAAAACAGTGTACAGGACTCGGTACCTTAAATGATTTTTCTCTATTCAATTGCCACACATTATCATTTAAACAATACCTTTAATGCGGTGTGAACTTGAACTTGAACCGATCGATCCTTATAATGAATTAAAGGCATATTTAGTGTAGGTTACGATAATTATCACCTGAAAGCAATTAGCACCTTGTACTAAAGGTGCTTAATGCTTGTGAATAGACCCCCACATTGTACTAAGTGGTACAAATGCTTGTGGATAGATCCACACCATGTACTAGGTGCTTAATAAACGCTTGTGAATATATAGACCCATACTTCGTGGTAGGTACTAAACACTTATGTAGAATTGAAAGCGATGTATACAGACATTTTTATTTAAACAATCTGGGTTATTTGATAAGTTGTCACTGATACCGATACTATTGTTGATGGTCAGATGCTTCACTAGTTACCTTTAACTCATTCACCCCTATATATCTAAACTGGACCAGCCCAGTCATTGATTTGGTAAGGTACAAATGTGAATTGAGGGGTGAATGATTTAATTTGACATTTCACACTTCAAGATAACTTGTTTATATTTAATACCATATTCTTGCATACTAGACTGAGATATCAGCATTTCCGGAGGTGCTGGAAAACTCTATCCGACCCATGGGTCTAGATCGCTTACACACACACAGACTAGCGGGGGAATTATAGTCATCTTTTGATGCTATTGTTCGTGACGTCATTTTATGACGTTTTGAGGTCAGTCAGGGTCATTGACATCATTAACAATTGTCATTCGTGCTGCATATGCAAATGAGAACTGCGCAGACAGTTTACAACTTTACTAAGAGAGCAGCTGTTTTTTTACAGGTTTTCGGTAATAAGCAAGAAATAGAATGCATCCCTGGTGTGAGGTAAGGATAAGGTAATTCAAACCATCGGGATAAAATATTGAGCAAAAGACCCTCGGCAAAGCCTCGGGTCTCCTGCTCAATATTTCATCCTTTGGTTTGAATTACCTTATCCTTACCTCACATCAGGGATGCATTCTATTTACATATACCCTACAATGTAACTAAAACTAATCCAAATCTTCTCTTTACATGTACCACACCTGGAGCTAACTTAAATCTTCTCTTTACATGTACCACACCTGGAGCTAACTTAAATCTTCTCTTTACATGTACCACACCTGGAGCTAACTTAAATCTTCTCTTTACATGTACCACACCTGGAGCTAACTTAAATCTTCTCTTTACATGTACCACACCTGGAGCTAACTTAAATCTTCTCTTTACATGTACCACACCTGGAGCTAACTTAAATCTTCTCTTTACATGTACCACACCTGGAGCTAACTTAAATCTTCTCTTTACATGTACCACACCTGGAGCTAACTTAAATCTTCTCTTTACATGTACCACACCTGGAGCTAACTTAAATCTTCTCTTTACATGTACCACACCTGGAGCTAACTTAAATCTTCTCTTTACATGTACCACACCTGGAGCTAACTTAAATCTTCTCTTTACATGTACCACACCTGGAGCTAACTTAAATCTTCTCTTTACATGTACCACACCTGGAGCTAACTTAAATCTTCTCTTTACATGTACCACACCTGGAGCTAACTTAAATCTTCTCTTTACATGTACCACACCTGGAGCTAACTTAAATCTTCTCTTTACATGTACCACACCTGGAGCTAACTTAAATCTTCTCTTTACATGTACCACACCTGGAGCTAACTTAAATCTTCTCTTTACATGTACCACACCTGGAGCTAACTTAAATCTTCTCTTTACATGTACCACACCTGGAGCTAACTTAAATCTTCTCTTTACATGTACCACACCTGGAGCTAACTTAAATCTTCTCTTTACATGTACCACACCTGGAGCTAACTTAAATCTTCTCTTTACATGTACCACACCTGGAGCTAACTTAAATCTTCTCTTTACATGTACCACACCTGGAGCTAACTTAAATCTTCTCTTTACATGTACCACACCTGGAGCTAACTTAAATCTTCTCTTTACATGTACCACACCTGGAGCTAACTTAAATCTTCTCTTTACATGTACCACACCTGGAGCTAACTTAAATCTTCTCTTTACATGTACCACACCTGGAGCTAACTTAAATCTTCTCTTTACATGTACCACACCTGGAGCTAACTTAAATCTTCTCTTTACATGTACCACACCTGGAGCTAACTTAAATCTTCTCTTTACATGTACCACACCTGGAGCTAACTTAAATCTTCTCTTTACATGTACCACACCTGGAGCTAACTTAAATCTTCTCTTTACATGTACCACACCTGGAGCTAACTTAAATCTTCTCTTTACATGTACCACACCTGGAGCTAACTTAAATCTTCTCTTTACATGTACCACACCTGGAGCTAACTTAAATCTTCTCTTTACATGTACCACACCTGGAGCTAACTTAAATCTTCTCTTTACATGTACCACACCTGGAGCTAACTTAAATCTTCTCTTTACATGTACCACACCTGGAGCTAACTTAAATCTTCTCTTTACATGTACCACACCTGGAGCTAACTTAAATCTTCTCTTTACATGTACCACACCTGGAGCTAACTTAAAATTTCTCTTAACATGTAGCCTAACTTAAAACCTGATCTGATGTTTCTTGTAACAAGTACCCTACAAATTAACGTACGTAAATCTTTAGTTTCCCTTTACTTAAGTTGCTGAGCTTGACTAGATGGATCGTCGACGACCAGATAGCCCAAATGGCAGAGCAGCCCAAATGGCAGAGCATTCTCTAGAGTTTTGAGTGTCCCGGGTTCAAACCCCCGGCGGCCGTGCATTTTTCAGTTCAAACCTTGTTTGAACCATTTGGTGAATTCTTGACAAGAGGATACCCGAACCTGGATTGTAAATAGTTGTGTCTTTGGGAGTAAAGACCTGGAAAAAGGAGTGAGGAATATGTAGCGGAACTGGACTGGGTTGATCGTCGGTGACCAGGTAACTCAATTGGTAGAGTGTCTGATTAGAGTTCGAACTCCAGGCTGGCTGTGCATTACTCCACTCCAATTACACATAAAATATATATCTACATGTACCTTAATCTGATGTTAAGATTCTCTTAAAATGTACACTACATGTGTTTAACTCATCCACCTCTGAAGACACATTTGAACTCTTCCAATTCAAAGGTTTGAATAGTTCATTATGAAATTTCAGGGGTGAATGAGTTATTTATGACCACTGAACACATGTACATACATTTTTATAATACATGTTCTAATGTATAGGATCAGTACTATTGTAGGTAACGGTATAGGTCATATATCTAATAGTGTTATTTAGTAACATGCTACTCAGTTAGGTCATTCATAAATCCTTGTGGTATCAAACAGGTGTAGTGCTGCTCCGATCAAACCAATTATCTGATGCTTAATTAGATCTTGGCAACTTGTCAAGTTTCATAATTGTTTTACTTGAATGTGATAACACTGGTAACGTATATGTGTATATCCTATTTCAAAGGAATATAGGTCTATATACATGTATATGTATATATATTAATTTTGTTATATTTCTATTTTTAAGTTTAAGCTGATGATTTCTTT